TTTTTGTGTAAGGCTTTCTGTTCAGTAGCTATAGTATTCAATCCACTTTCCAATCCATCTATCCAGCTTTTCTACAATCAAAATGCAGCAAAATCGGCATCCAGGAAATGGAGCATTGCAATCCATGGAGTGACAGAGTTTGCCTATCTCAGCATTTTGAGCAGCTGTGAATAACAGAGGTATGGAAGGAGATGGGAGGTTCCACTGGAGAATGCCTGACCTCTGGGTAGATTAATGAAAGGCCAGTAAGGGGCCTTAAGTTTCAAATGTAGGGATGACAGCAGACTGTTTAGGCACTGAAGCCTTCGCAGGAACTGGATGTTTTGTTTTCTTGAGGCTCTTCTGGGAATTAGAAGCCAGTTGTTCTGTCTCATACATAACAAAATGATGTAATTGGACACAGTAGTAGGAACACTCTGTTTTCAGGGAAAGGGAGTCCGAATTATTCCCCACTCCCTCCTTCTTTATCTTTCGTAACTTTAAGAAGAAACTGTTGGTGAGCAAGAAAGGCAGCGAAACCTGCAAAGCATATCCCTGAGCAGATCAGAAGGAAAACGAGCTGTTTGAAAGACTTTCCCACAATTAATCCATTTTGCCTTCAAATGATATTTCAAAACAACTATTTTAAGACAACTGTGTCTCAGTGGAACCAGAACTTTTTAGGGGCAGATCTTTCTTGTTAACCAACCCATGACTGACCGCTACAAAATTGCCTCCAGATTTTCAGCAGAGGACATTGTCCTAATGGGAAACACACAATGCTAGAGAACACTCTGCCTGTTAAAATATACAAAGTACAAATTCAAACCTCTGAAACGATGGAAAAATACTTACTTTAATTACTTTTTATTCAAGTAACTGCATTTTACAATGAACTAGTAATCTTAAAAAGTATTTTAAAGGGTACCCTGACTCCATCTGTAGAAGATCCGCTAGCAAACAAGGAATAAAAAGCAGTGTGTGCACTCATGTTTACTTGAGTAAGATTTCTTACAAGATACTGCAGATCTACTTATACATTTGTTTTGCTCCAAATGAAACAACTTAATTTGAGTGTTAAGTGCTCCACACTTATTATGTTAGTACCAGAAATATAACTTAGATATATAATGTATCTCTGGAATTAAACCAGAACTTCTTTTGTGAAGACACAGAAGTCAACAATCAATGAAGAACTGTATAATAACAGCTACAGGAAATATAAAAATGTGAATATGTTATATATACACCACATAATAAAATGTATCACTTTAAATAAGCTACCATTTGAAACATTTTAATTTTACATCCTTTTCTGCTTTAACTGCAGTCTTATGGCTTTTTAATATGCACAGAACAGATATCCTGCCCCCACTCATGGTAACAGATAGAAAATTATTTAAAGGTCACAAACAAAAAGAAAGAAAAAAAGGTGGAAAAAATTACTAATCCCCATTATTCTTCAAAAAAGCCCTCAGAAATTATGTGCAAGTAACTTGCTGCAAGAGAAAGTATGTATCAGATGGAATAAGTCAGTATCATCCAATTACCATGTCTTAAACAGTTAAGTAGCAAATACTCAACCATTTTTCTGTCTCTCTCAGTGACATTTAAACCTAGATGCTTTTACTTCACATCTGAGGCAGACTAAGACTAGACATGTGCTCAGTTACTGCAGCTGAGCTGCAGCACAGGAAAAAGTGTTATTTTATCTGTGAACTACACCAAACTAAGAGTGAGCTGTCACAGAGGGGTCACACCACTCCCCTGGCCATGGCTGCCTTCCACTCAAGCCTTCCCTGTGCTCATCTGAGTCCACAGAGAGTCACTCCAGAGAAGTCAAACAAGACTACACCAGATTTTTTTCTGTGATTTTGCTGACTGCTTTAGCTCACTACCCAGCCAGGGAAAGGGAGCTGGGGGTGGGCTAGGACTCACTGCAGGGACAAGGAGGCAAGGAAAGCAGGAGCAGCACAACTTCCACTAGCAGCTAGCCATAAATTGTGTGACTGAACAATCAGCTGAATTGTATCATCAAACTGCATCCTTACTCACTTAATGAACCCAGCCTAGACTTAACAGTTGCTTCCAATTTATCTCCTAACCCATTTCAAGGCAATTGGTATTAGGCTCAGTAGCTCTACATGGAGCAGGAAGCTTCATCTGTCACCTGTGTGCCTGAGCCCCTTCACAGAAAAGGCTGCGGGTTTAGGAGAAGCACTGCTGGAACTTGCAGTAGATCTTCCCTAAGTGCAAAATCTGTGCCAGTGATCAATAAGTAACATAACTTCCACCCTGACCTGTCAAAGGCTAGAGACAAACCAGATACATATGTTGTACTCAGTCCTTTTTGACTGGAAATACTGAAACCATAAAAAATCCTCATATATAATTCTGACATAATGCAATTACCTTCAGATGGATGAGCATCGTTTCTGGGAAGCTTAGGGGAAAGAGGAGCAGTGTATGGTGGAGAGTCCTGAGGGTATCGTTTAGCACTCTTGTTTTCAGGTATTTCTTCTTTGGCTGTGAAGAGGAAAAGTCACTACCTGTTATTCTAGCATAAAGCTGCTCATGGGCTAAGCCCAGAGATAGAAGCAAAGACAGACATCAGCCATCCACCTTCCATTTCTTGTGTCACACAGACTCAGTCACTTCAATACAAAATTTCAAAGCTGGATAACCTTGATCCTGTCTACCTTCCTGAATAGTTAAAACTAAGAACTTTCATATAATAGATAGAATTATAAACATAATTTCTGCATTGGAAAGAGGAAAAAAAATTCTGCACCAGCATCCAGAATACAGACTCAGCTATCAAATATCTCTGAGGAAGCTTTGTTGCCAGTATAAGTCTTGTGAAATTGTCTTGACAACAAAGCTATCTCAGCTGGCTTATCCTGGGACTTGTGACAACAAAGCTATCTCAGCTGGCTTATCCTGGGACTTGTAATACCAAGTCCTACAAACAACCTGTTGGGAGATCTTGGGCAAGTAATTGCATCTTCCCTTGATTCTACATTCCTGGTGCAGCAAAAGTATTGGACTCACATAAAGTTTCACAAGCAGCCAGTTTCACAAATTTTTCTACTAGATGAGTGGACTGTACATAGTAGAAGGTAAAAAATTTTGAGCCACCCCTAAGTGAGGAAAAAGAGAAAGAAAAGACTTTGTACTTGTGTTGAACTCCCTTTCAGGGGAAGTGCCTTCTCACAGACAGCAAGCATCTTTGGGTAAATTTAGGTTATGAGCTGAACATAAATTTAACAAATGAAATGTGAAGTTTTGAGCTTTTCTTTTTAGCAGTATCACGGTGGTAAAGCACATATGTTTTCTGGCTTGCCTATAAGGAGAAGTTTGCTGAACAAAATTATTTCTGCACATGTGGTATGACCTATCCATTACTGTCAAAGCACTTCCACACTAGAACCAATTCACTAAGAACTGAAGTGTATTAATTGCAAGCAATTCACATCACAGAAAGACTAAAAAGTTGCATTTCATAAAGTGCCCACATTTCTCAGAAATATCAGCACTTGAAAACAACAAGTGATTAACACTACCTGGCTTATTCCTGTCGTACTCCATAGGACTATGTGCACATCCCATGTAAGGGCTGAAAGGCTGGCTACTGAACAGATTATCACACTGCAGGCTGTGGCAGAGCTTCTCCAAGAAGCGTAGGACAAACGATGCACTGTTTACAGAAGGAAGATTGATGGTGTGCTTTTCCCCATCAAAGGAAGCTGTGAATAAGAAGATTATGTCAAACACCCCCAAGCATCATGAAGTATAGTAAAACACCATCATTAACTTAAAGGAGAAGACAGACAGACTTGATTTAAACCATGCAAGACATGAGAGGAGTAAACAATCATTCTGATAGTTTAAAAAATTTATATCCAAAGGACTGATTTCACCTTCAACGGGATGCATGTCCATTTAAATTTGCTCTACAGTAATTTATTTTAATAAAATAATTTTGGATTCACACCAGTATAACAAAACTTACAACTACCCCTTCACCACTTTATGTGGAATTTCCATTACTTTTAAAGCAGCAAGCTCTCCACCACCTCTTTGCAAAAGATAGCACAAGAAAGACCCTTTACAATACTTGCTAAAAAAATACAAAATACCCCAAAACCCTCCAAAAAAAAATCAACAAAAAGCCCAAACAGTTATTAAAAAAAAAAAAATAAGGCACCAAAAAAACCCTAAAGAAATTAAACAATTTTAGTATTTTTTTCTTGGTTTCTAACTGAATGGAGAATACTTGTGGTAAGGTGCTGGCATCCATTACCATTGAAATTTTGACTCAGAAATTGTTTTGCCATTTGCTATTTTATCCCTAGAGAAATCTATCCTGCTGTCAACACTACAGTGGCCAAGCACCCATTTATTTCAACAGGAGTTAGGTGGCAGAGATACCACAGCAACCACAAATGGATCTGTTGTCTTTTAAACTGAGTGATTACAAAGAGACTGTACAGGTGCCTATGTCTTTTCCTTGCCCTCAAACAGTATGGCAGCTGAGGATAATTTTCTTTTTTGTGAAAATTAGTAAGGTTTGGGAAAGACTCAATACTACAGATACATGGATAAATAATTACCATTACATCAGCTAAAATTTTTAGTCACTTGTGATTAGGAAGACTTTAGAACAAAGCAGGAACAAACTTGCAACTTAAGCTTAGGGCTGAAAAGAAGTGGCATAAACACCAGGTTTATGCATCAATTTGTCTTTTTGGTTTTCAGCCTGTCATGCAGCTTTCTGTTGTTAACATAAGTTTCCAAATGATAAGCAGAGCTTTAAATGATCACATTTTGTTGGTAGCAGATGCTAAAAAAAAAAAAAAAAAAAAAAAAAAAAAAAAAAAAAAAAAAAAAAAAAAAAAAAAAAAAAAAAAGAAAAAAATAAAAAAGCCAGAAATGACAAGAAAGCCTTTACTCACAGATCTGAATTCAGGAATATTTCCATATTGTGTTAGAAAAGAGACAGATAATATACACAAAACCAAAGAAAATGCCTAAGTCTAGCATATTTTAGACTTCTTTAGGAAATATGAAGTGTCAATTACTTACACTGTTGATGTCAGGAAGCTTCTGATTAGGGTCAATGTGACTTACCAGCCAGCATCAATAACAATGTGCTGCCTCTCCCACCTGCTTTCATAACAGACTGACCAGTTCAAGTGCTTGAAGTTTAAGAGTCAGTACTACAAGACTGAAGTGTTTCCATGGCCTATCAGGTTTTTTCCAGGCTCCAGTGTCCAAATGAAATGCTAATGATTAACAGTCCCTCATGTCGCTCAGACACAAGGTGCTCTACATCCTGTTTGGGGAAGGAGTCTCCAAAGGCAAATTTTTGCTTGGAACTTAACCAGTTCTGGAGAGCAAATGAGCTGTGAGACCTACCATAGATTGACCTCCTGACAAATTTACTGCAAGGCAGTAGTCAGCTACAGCAGAAAATTATGCTCTATAATCGCCTTATGGACCTTCCTATATGGCCTTTGGGGAAATGACTTATTCTATATCTCTTAATTTCTCATTTTGAAAAAAAACATTGAAAAGAACAGTGTTACTCAGGAGTTGTCAAGAGGACAAAGCAAGAAACAGCTGAGGTGTTTTGACTGCCCCACTAAAACATTCCATGAGAAAAATCCACAAATAAAGATGCAGTGCAAACACAGTTTCCCCAGACTCTTAACACCTGAGGGCAACCATACAAACTCCAACCAAGGGTGTGGGATCCAGATCCACAGGCTCAACTGTCTACCCTGCTTACTTTCCAGATAAATGCTAAGGGAAAAAAAATAAAAAGGAGGACCTCTGAGGCAATAACCTCAATTTTAATGATACATAAACAGGGATTGCAGCTTGCATGTGCAACCCCAGCCCTCAGGATGAAGAGTCATACTCATTCTTCACCTTCCATTCTTTAAGTATGTTTTACATACCAGATTCAAGCTGGGAAAACAACTGAGAACAAAACAATCAGAGAAAACAATCAGAGAAATGTTTTTTTTTCTGATAGTGATGGAACTCATCCTAGAGTCTGATTTTAATTCGCTGCTTGAGAAAATTTATCTGAGCCTCAATCTGTTTCAACCCACCAAACACCATAGTCTCTGTGCTACAAAGAGAAAAAAGGAGCTGACACCAACTCCATTAGTGGGATTGGTAATAAAGCCTTTAATTTCCTTTCTGTTTTATTTGCCTGAATTGAAAGCTTATGCATTAAGCAAAAATAAAATAGTTTCACTTTTGTTTGAGAAAGAAAAGATTGAAAAATACTAAATTTAATGTTACTCAAAACAATTATTTTCCTTGGTAGCTGAAGCAAAAGAACCCATTAATTATTCCATGCATTCTGGCAAGATCATTTTATCCATATCCTCCTCAGCACACTGTTTCCTCCTATGGCAGGTATAATACTTTCTACAAAAGCATCAGTTCACAAAAACTTAGATTTCTTTGTTTATTCTCTGCCACAACATTTTTTTTAATTGACAGTCTCAAAAAAAAAACCCATCAAAACCTGAACAACAAGCCACCCTTCAAACCCACTTCAAAACTAAAGGGCTACAACTGTATTTCCTTATTTTATTCTACTGTTGCTTCCCTCTTCTTCCTTACTATTCATGTGCACAGCTAGACGTAACGTGCTACATTAATCTAAGTCATATTTTATGCTTCACAAAACTTACCACTCACAAATTTTTGATAAAATGACAGGGAGTGTTTGCTCAGCCACTTGTCAGCTACCTGTTTGACAAGCCAAGGAGAAGCAAGAGCTCAAGAACACTAGAAACCAACTGGGGCCCTGTGGCTTACTATTAACCAGACCAGGACTCTTGCCTATGGAGCGGTCCACACCAGGTTCCTCAAATCCAGAATACAGGCTTTGGGGTGAAGCCAGGTGCAGAACAGTAAATCCTTTTTTTATAGAATTTTTGAATGCAAACAAGCCACAACTATGTAAGGAATCTGAAATTTCTCTCTCCTGTTCAAAGTTATTATTTTCAATTACTCAGTGACAGCCCAGAGATACCACTGGCCTGTGAGTTAGCACTTGATGATAAACAATCACAAACAGAATATTGGCAACGAACATCTCAGGGCATTTTGTTGTAGAAAATTGACTTGTCTGAAATAGGTATAGCAAGGCATAAATAATGTAACAAACTTTCATATATATTGAAAAAATAAAGCAGTACCAGTTTCAGACCTACATATATATGATGCCATTAAACCTCTACTGCACAGCAGAGAAGCAGCATCCATTTTGTGCACAAACTCAGGGGGATGCCTAAGCAAAGCTCACTGTAGTTCTGCCATACACAGATTGGGGTGCTGCTCTTTAAGTACAGTTAGACAGCAACATCTTTATGAATATTTAACTGAACCTCTATTCCTCTAATCATCTATCACATCTGGTGTTAATGTTAAGAGATTAAAGGAATGCCAGGTCTTTTACCACCACTGAAGGAATTATGAATTGATGTACTAACTGTTATACATAGAATATTTCCTAGCCTAGAAGGAAAAAATGTCAAGCAACAGCTATTCAGATTGAGACATAGAGATAATTTATCTACAAACCTGCCATCAATATGTAATAGAAATAAACCTATTCCGTAATAGGTGACTTAGGTGAATGAAGAGTGACCTAAGATACTGCTGCAGTTCTGGGGAATGGGGCAAGGAAAACAGAAGCAACTTTAACATGTGGAATCACTTGCCTGGAAGCGAAACAAATTAATTTGAGACTTGTCACCCACTTGGTTAATGCTTTAAGAACACAAACGTTGTGCATGGATAAGATTATGTGAATGACTTGAACTAATAAAGCTGATTATTTAACTTGTAGTAAGTTTACTTGACAAATGTTTGGCTACAGCTGCTAAACGAGGTACACAAGCTCTACTTAGTGTAAGAAACTAACTGTATTGTGCATTTGTAATTTAAACACTGCTATTGCTTTAAAAAATGCTTAATAATATTTTAATTTCAATTTAAATAATTGTTTAAATCATGCTGAACTCAAGAGTAAGACAAATCCTACACCATCAAGGTTCACACCTGTGTTTACACAGCTACAAAAGGAATATAAATTCATTGCAGCTACTTCAGTTCTTCTGCCCTACCTCAAGTTCAATAAGTAAAGAAACAAAAGAAACAGAGCATCTTCACATACCAGTTATCACTTCCCCTCCATGATGGCCAGATTTCAGAAATCCAAAGACTGTTTTGGCTTGATAGGCACAATCCACACAAGCCTGTACAGCCTGCTGAAGTACCACATTTACAGGACCTGGTCCAAAATGGTCTGGAAGCTGCTGAACCTTCTTCTTATCCAGGTGAGGCCCAGAATTTCCATGTTTGTTCACATAAACACACACTGAAAATGTACAAACCATATTTACTACCAAGGAACCAAGACATGTTTCCAAATTAGAACGGCAAATTGTCATTTTAGTTTTAATCCTGCATAAAAGCTATACTGGTCAACTCAAGCAGCTGAGCGTGTACACATACTTTCAGAGCATGCAGAAAGTGCTCTTCTACCAAGGAAGAGCACTTCTTCTTCTCCTGACTGAATCCTAAACTCACTTTTTTCCTGCATTCTGAAGCCCTCTTCTACCTCACTAATGCAACAAAGCTGACATGATCTGTGCTTGTGTTTTGAATAGTCTTTACTCATACACTAGGTACAGTAAAGTACAAATTACTGGCAGGTACTCCAAACCGCCAAGTCACAATTCTACAAAGCAGGCCTTACCAAGTTACTGCCTATTTTTTTTTTTTTCCTATTTGAGAAGCTGCAGCATAGAGAACCCTATGTTATATACCTGCCACTGATGCTCATTCTGAAGCATCCATATGGCACTAACATATACATCACACAGTGTGGCTACCAAAGGCCTGTAGCTTCAGAACACCTGAACCACTCACAGGATTTCCACGCTGCAATGTGGCTTGTCTGCTACGTAAACACTTCTTTACAAACACCTTAAGGTGGTTTAAAGTGTAGCACAAAACAATCATATAGGACTTTTGTAACTGCTTCTTTAAAAGACAATGTGAAACTGTCTTCCAAACCAATTGCCAAGGCAGAATAACATGGGAAACATGTAAATGATGATTTTTTTTTTTCTTGTTCATTCTGGCTGCCACATGAATGCACCCAAGACATTATTACAGCTTAATGAAAAAATGTGCCTCTGTGGTGATTGAGCAATCTAAACATTCTATTACACAAAGGACTGACATATTTTCTGAACTGTAGTTTGATTTTAGATAAAAACCCTGAGCGTTTAAAAATAAAGTATGTATTTTAATGATGTAGTGTCTTCATGCATTTCTGTTTACTCTCTGATTTCTGCAAATTGAAGGAAAACCTCTTTGTACAAATAATCAAAGCTACAAATTAACAATAATAGTACGGCATCTTCTGTCTGGGCTCAGCAACAACTGCCTTGCAAAAGGTTTATTTTCCTAGGAAAAAGGTACTTGTTTCCCCCTCATCCATGACTGAAACTGGGCATGAGAAGAGCCTGACAACTACTATTGTAAGAACAGATTTTTGCATGTAAAAAGGCACCCCAAGCAAAATTACTGTAATTTATGGAGTTTTTAGAAAGTTCTGAGATTTCAGCTGACAATATATTCATTCTTTCACTACAGGGTTACCAGTTCCTCAATGGGTTAGTTCATTTACTAGCTTATTTCTTTTCTGCCAATCCTTTTCAAGACACATTTCATTATATTTAGAGGCAAAAAAAAAAGCAAACATGAGGAAAGAGGAATGTATTCCCTCTGATTGCCATTAGTGGGTTTTATGAGAGTTGTTTCTTTTCATGTAAGACTATATAGAGATAAAATCTCAATTTTGTAACGTTACAGTACAGCTTGCATGGGATCAGAATATCATATGAGCTTTCAGCTACGTCTATTCTCATTTCATACATTAAGGAGTAGGACAGACATGAAAGAACTGTACAGTTTCCTTCTTCACACAGGAACAAACTGCCAGGAAAGTCCCTGTGCCCCAGCACTTATTGCTATAATGTGGAAATCAAAATACCAGTTCTGAAAAGTAATTCTGGCTCCTACAAATATCTTTCAAAAATAAGGCAGCTGGATAAGGATTTACAGTACTAAGTTTGCAGCACATTCTTCATAAAAACAAAACTGCTTGACATGGAAGCCATTTCACACATTTCTTTGTTTTTTACCTGTGGATATAACTGCTGCAGTTGCACCAGACAAACTGATTCCATCTTTAAGTATCTGTGCAGTGCCATTTTCCCCTTCAGGAGATGACTGAGGAGAAAGAGATGTAGGAGTCAGTTGTTCTGGCAAGAATTTTTTCTGTTAAGAGAAAGAAAAAAAAAAAAAACTGAGTCAAAATGTTTAATGTTTTTAAAGGAGTCTGCACAACCTTCCTGCTATCAGTTATGATCTTAATAAAAGTAGGTGGTTCCTCATTAGAAAAGTACCACACACAGCAGAGAAGGGAAAGTCCAGGAAAGGAAGACCAGAAACTCAGTCTGCAGTTACAGCTACTTTAGTAATGCAGTGGAAGACAAATTACTTAGAAAAGAACCCGCCTTTGCCTAAAAAGTGGGAAAATAAAGAGCTTTATATACTACTTCATGACTCGTCTAAAAATCTTCAGAAGAGGTATTTCAGGGTATTTTCCTGTCCATGCCCTTCCAGCTGGGTTTATCACAGCTCAAGTAAATTAGCTGGGCTGTGTATGTACTGCCATAAAAAACCTAAGTCACAACTAGGTGTCAACATTACAGTACACCTGTAGTTTTCCTCAGCTTGTTTCAAATGGGTTGAAATTCTCAAGTAATCACTTCCAGGAATTTTCAGGTGCTTCATGCAAGAGATCAAACAAGCCTGTAGTTACAATCCAGTCATGCTAGTTGCCAAAACCTTTTCCTTTCCCAAAGCAAACTTATTTGCAGCTTATCATATGACAGATAACCAGAGTTCAGAGCACAGCAATTTAGAGATTGGTCCATGTGCATTACCTTCTCCACGTGAGGAAAAGAGATGTGCACATGGAAGACATTTCACAGAATCACAGAATGTCCTGAGTTGGAAGAGACCCAAAAGGATCATTGAGTCCAAGTCCTGGCCCTGCACAGGATACCCTAAGAGTCACACCATGTGCCTGAGAGCATCTAAACATTTCTCAAGCTCTGTCAGGCTTGGTGCTGTGACCACTTCCCTGGGGAGCCTGGTTCCGGTGCCCGGTCACCGTCGGGGTGAAGAACCTTTTCCTGATACCCCACCTAAACCTCTCCTGACACAACTTCAGGCCATTCCCTTGTGTCCTGTCACTGGTCACCAGAGAAGAGTGGTGTGTTTTGAAATAGTATGAAAATACATCAAATTAAAGAAATAATAAATCAGAGTTCATCACTTTTCCCTTCACCACTTATTCTTGCACGAGAACAGATTACATTTTGACTCTCTTACCTAGCAAAAATTAGGAATGTAAGAGATTACCCAAGGTCTTGACACTGCTGAACACAGCAGAGACTTGTGGTAATGTGGTATGGATTTACCATTAAAACTGATACATAGTGAAGTAAAACTTCAGTCAATTTGCTAAGGAAGGCTTCTTAAGGAAGCCCTCTTCCATTTAGCAGCATTTGTCCTCTAAACTTATAGAAGCAGGCTATTGTCCAAGTAATTTATTGAAAACCTTGTGGAAAGCAATCAGCATATATACCTTCCTAAAAGAAGCAGTGCTTAACTTCTTCACAACACCTAGAAAGAAGAAATTAATTTTCATCTGAAATCCAGAGCACTTTAAAGAAAAATTCTGTGCCACTTACAGGTCAAAGAAGACAGGTTTGGCTGGGGAAAGTATTTGACAATATGGCACTGGGAGTAATCACCATGAACATAAGGAATAGACTGCCCAGGCTTGGCATTGCTTTGTGAATGACATGAGGTGGCACAGAACAAAGTAGTGATGTACTTGTCAGGAACTGACCATTTATCTTAACACTGGGTACAGATAGGTCTCCATCTTTTAATACATAAGGAGAAAAAAATGCACTTGGGAAGATTGAGGTTTTGATCTGAAGTCCAACATTCCTGAAGGCCCCCCGAAGCAGGGATTCTTGTAGCAGGGGGAGGGCAGTTTTCTTTCACGATGCTACCAAAAATACCCATTTTTGGTATTGGTCAAATTAAGGGAAAAGATGAGGAAATGGGGAAAAATGTAGGAATGAAATACAAACACTTAACTAAGAGGAACCATCCACTCTCTACACCAATGCACACATGAGGTGAGCTTAGCTGGCTGTTTCCTACCTTCTCCCTCAGAAGGCAATATAACACATTATACTTGCTCAGCTGAGGCTCTCATCTTGCAACCCCCCCGTGACAGGCTCCAGCTGCGAGCCCAGAGCCATGTTTTTAGTGAGACAGGCCACAAGCCCTGCAGGGCTGGGCACAGTGGCTTGGTCTGGCTGGCCCCTGCCAGGGAGGGCATGGCAGCTCTGTCACCTGCAGAGAGCAGGGCTCACAGCTTATACTACCAGGGCAACTTCACCAGCTTCATCCTCATGCTTAAAAACTCTTTTTGTGGGGCTGGTACCCACACTCAGACCAAGGGGTTTCCTCAAGAAATTCTGAAAGGAATTCTTTGCACTGTTGTGTAAAGTGTACTTTTAAATATAATGCGAGAGATGTGCAGAGGTTCCTTCTTTACTATAGAAGAGTAAAAACATACATTGCAAGCTGTGAGAAACAAATGAAAAACAAAATCCAACATACATCTCATACTTACAGAGTTTGGAAAAAAATTAATTAAAGGCAAAAAATGATGCACCAGTTCATTATTTCTAGCTGTATAATATAAGTCAGTATCTGCAAAATTATAAATACTGCAGCATAACAAACCTGAAGGGGCAAAGAAATTCGAACAACTTTGCAGAGAGAGAGGCAGATACCAATGTCCCTAAATACACCAAATAGCGAGCTCACACTTGAAGCACAACAATTTAGTGTAACATCTGGAAAGGGTTTTTTTGCATCAGTCTAGGGGGGTGGATGGAAGAAAAAAAGCACTTTCAAGCCTCTAGGCACATACCACTTGCATATTTGCATACATCCTGTGAGGTGTACAGGCTATATGGCTGCACTTCTTGTCAGACACACCCTGACTGCAGAACTCCCACAAAGCCCCCTTTCCTCTCTTTACCCTTATGCTAACAGGTGTAATAGTCCAAAGGAAAGTTTGCACATATGTATAACATCTTGGCAATTTAACCACTTACCAAAGCAGTAACAGCCTTCTGTGAATTCTCAAAAAGAGCTAATTTTTCAAGTTTTTAATGCTAAAGTTAACAAAGTAAAAATCCCAAATTAGATGTATCAAACCTAGATTTTGCAAAACCTCCCTGTTGCCTGGTCCCACAGAGGAAATCAGGAATGCATAGAGGTACCACAGATTTGCTGCCTCAGGACAGGGTTATGTCAGCACTGACACCCATTCCCCAAACAGTACCTCCAAGCACTTCACACAAACCAGGTGTCAAATGTTCCAAGCAGACACTTTCAGACACCCAGGGCCCAGAAGCCTCTTCTAATAGCAAGGTGCCTCCAACTACTGTTTCAAAACATAGATAAAGCCTCTCGATTTCTTTTTAATGAGAGCTAAAATTCTTACATGAAAGTGCACATCCTGCCACACCTGAATAAGACCTGAAGATATGACAGTCCTGTGTTCAAAGGTGTCCTTTAAAGCCCAGTTCAGACTTAGAGAGAACAAGAACACCCCAACCACCAGCTAAGCCTGGATAGGAGCACCTTTCTCCTCTTTCATCTCTGTTGCTGTGCATTTTTATACACCAAGTAAGAGAGAAACAAAACTGGAGACAAATTCCATCACTAGTCTACCAGTTTGGACGTCTGACTGCAAGGGGCAGGTAGCAGAGAAGAGTGCTCAGCTTTCAATTTATGGTCCCTAAAGTAATTTCTTTTATCCTGTGAACATCGTTTCAATGAAGTGCTGCTTCCAGTTTCATACTAGAGCTTCCACCTATGCTCTAGTAATGTTACTTCACTAGCACTTCACACTGATCAGCACCATCACCAGAAGGGAGAATCCCCACCTTGCTATTATTCCACCTCTTCCCACGCATTATTAGGAATAGATCCCACAACCCACACTTATAGAGACTGGAGGAGAAAAGCCTCCAAACTTCTACTGCTTGATTCTTGTTTGGAGGAAAGGGGAACAAACACAAAAAAAAAAAAAAAAAAAAACAAACAAACAAAAAAAAAACCAAACAAAAAAAAAACACCAGGAAAAAGCACTACCTTCCATCTCCTCACTAGTGCTAATGCAAAGCAGGAAGGAGCACAAGGACAGACTCAAACTGCCTGAGGGAAGACATTGCAGGATTGCTGCTCTTCTTGGACAGCCTGCTGTGCATGAGCGAACCTCAGAAAATAGACTGTACTTCCACAGCAATTCAAATTGCCCTAAGTCTGCCCTGCTGTGATCCTATTCTTCCTTGCAGCAGCTGTAGCATTTGGGTTTTTTTGGGGTGGAGCAGACAAAGAAGGAAGTAGGAGGGATGGATGCTGTGCCAGCTGTCTACCAGTTGAGTTCCGTGCGCTGGCTCGCTTGGAAATTGCTCATGTGTCAGCATTGGTGGCAGTGGCAGTGGGAAGTGCGGTGAGGGGACAGTGTGTACCTGAGCAAGCAGCTCCAGTGTGTACCTGAGCAAGCAGCTCCAGTGTGTACCTGAGCAAGCAGCTCCACCAGAGCTGAAGATGGAGGCAGCTGCCAACATTCCAGGTCTGACTCAGCTGGGCAAGGAGAAAGGCATCATGCCTTTCAGACCAGGACAGAATTAGGCCCACATCTAGAGAAAAAGAAACTTAGCTTCCTGCTTCATGCTAGTAGCTCCAGAATTAGGGAATATCCATGAGATTCATTTGGCAAATCCAGCTGTATGCTTAAGAAGCCTAAATTACGCAATGAAGTCCTGACTGGTTTTAATTCTTTGTTTCTAAACCTGAAAAAACCCCAAAAAACACATGCTATATATATGGTTCAGTAACAAACCAACAACCAACTCAAACTAAAAAGTTTAAATGCTTCCCTGTCTCTCTACTTCAGAATAGCATTTTTCAACACCAATTACTCACCCATAAATAAAACAGTAATCTTGTTTGGGAATAAAATAATCCACAGGACCTTACACTAAAATATTCCAGAAGAGGTATTCTAATTTTTTTCTTGTAATCAGTTGCTGAAAATAGTAAAGCCCTGAAGGCTGAAGAGAAGATAGAAAATTAAGTAATAATAATAAAAAATCTCACTGCAAAATTTTGCAAAATAAAGTAAAGTAGTAGATAAGGACTAACCTTTTTTCCAGGTTTTAAACTTTTTTTCCTTGTTTTAAGATTTTCAGTATGAGAGGTGCTTTTTGTCAGGGGAATATTTTTAGGAGACCTGCCCTTCTTGGGAACTGCAGACTGTCCAGGGGGTTTGCCCCGACCTGGTTTCCTGCCCCGCTGCGCTGGTACTGGAGCAGATTTCTGTGGAGACTGCATTGAACGCCGGGTCACTTTGGAAGGGGAAGATTGGATTTTTGCACTGCTCTTTGTAATGGAAACTGAGGAAAAACAAAAACAAAAGGGAAGGGGGGGAAAACCTCAAAATGAACAATGGAAAGCAACTTTTCTAACAAAGGCTTAAAAAAATAAAAGTGTACTGCACAATTTACATTGTAAAATGAATATACTTTTTACTTTGAACTTAAGTAGCTGGCATGAAAACTACAGAACTTCATTGGTGCCAAAGAGAGAACTCTTTGTACCCATTCTTTTAGAGGGACTTTCCTAAGAGAAAAACATTCAAATAAAAATTGGGATAAAACTCAAGAATTAATCCACTCACCTTATAAATGTTTCCCATAATTTAATTACAATATTTATAAAGTGCCATTCATTAAGAAGGCCTTCAAAAATACTTCACAAATTATACAGCTTATAATACATCCCTTTTCTGCTAAAAGCAACTTCCACAACTACAAGACATGCAAACTACTTCTAGGGAGGTACAAAACAACTTTGAGCAGCAAAGAAAATCATCCCAGTGACAAGGAGAAACTGATGACGGGCAAAATGTCTTCTGTGAGTATTTGACTGAGATACTGGATTAGAAAGTTAAGCTCACATAACCATACCCAGATTTTTCTACCTGGTGCCATTTCAAAGAAGGGATTCCAAAAATCAAACACAAAGTATCATTTTTCTTCATTCTTAACACTGAAGTGATTTTCTCCCATGAGATGGGTTAATCTCCCATTCCAATTCAATATGGGATCCCAACAGATATCCACTTGGATATGTTCCAATATGCATATGCTGTGATAGCATTATAATCTGGTGTGAGGCTCTAAGATGTAACCAGACTTCATTAAATTCAAACTTCCTAATAAACAGGTCTCTTCCTACCAACTCACTCTTCTCTGAAATAATGACAGTTTTATTTTAACAATTCCCTTCCCAATGGACAGATTAGAACACCAAAAGGATGCTGAACACACCCTCAATGAAAAGATGTTCTGCAACATGCTACAGCAGCACCTGTGGCCAACAAAAAGCAAATATTAAGTCCCTGTGGCAGACAAATACTCCATTCTGTTGGCCCAACCACTGGCAGGCAGACAGATGCATAAATTGCAGGACAGGTAAGTAGAAGATGAAATAAGGAAACTTCTTGACATATTTTTTGTTGAGAGGTATGGGAAAGAAACACACAGCATATTTGAAATAATTTGAAAAACCTTTACACTGAAATTAGACAGCTTTCTAGCGTCACACTGCCCCTATCACAGCCTTTTGCATCTTGCTGATTGTGAAAGTCATGTGATTCACCCCAACCTTAAATACCATAAACTTAATGTGACATAACTTAGAGAAGTATTGCAAGTTTGAGTTAAAGCAGGCTTTGACTCTGTTGGTCATCAGTGCCCGATTCAAAGGTCTTATTCGTAATGGAAACAGAGCACAAGGGGCTGTTAATTCTGGATTTTTGTGAATTTGGAATCTTTCTTCCATTAAAGTATTAGTATGTTGAAGCTTTCTGGTAAGCAAGTAAAACAAAAAATAAACCACAAAGATACTTTTGAAATGAGAGACTGAGATAATAAAATATTTAAAGATTGAGTAACAATTTTAATGTCTAACTGTATGAATCATATTCAACTTAACAGTCCAGTAGCTTACTTTACAACTGTTCCTTTAACCCTGTATCTTTATTCAGGAGTTAACTGTTATTATTTGCAATAGGAAATGTCACTATTTTCAAATTCACTAAGATTAAATATAGACCGCACACAGATTTCCTTATAAAATATAAGTACTACTGACACACATTTCTAAAGCAGTAGGAGCATTTACATACATTGCTATTTGCCTGATACAGTTACTAATCTAATATTCCTTAATGGCAGAAGAAATCTCTTCATTATGGCTGGTTACAATCCTAATACATCAAATGCAGACCTGATATCCCAAGGTATCTGAAAAGGACCACCTTCTAGAGGTACAAAGTGATCACTTTCCTTTTATTTATGTATGCCAAAACATATCTTCATTTGCAATGACAAAACAAGATGAACAGAATTTTAACCAAATGCTGGCACAGCATTTCTCTTATGCTCCTGAATTTCTGAACAACTCACATTAAGCTGTATATCTGGAAAGCAAAACAGTATCAACTATATGATGTACAGTACAATACTACGTATTGTATTATATTATACCTACAACAATAAAAAATGAAGCTATTTTTATTTATTGTGCCACACAACTATGCATAGAACAAAAGAATCATGACCTTGTAAAGAAATGCTGTTTAACAAATTCTTTGTGCTTCTGCATATGCTGAAATTTAGCAAATGCATTTCTATTCTCGCACAGTAAAGACCTAGCTGTTGTTAAATACACATTACTTTCAAGTCAACAGGTTCTAGGAGCACAGGTATGAGTTTTGGACACTGGGCAATCCCTACTCCCTTCCAGAAGGACATTCACCAGACAAAGAATAAAATGCAAACAGCTCCAGCCACTTCCTGCTGCTCTCTTTAACCACACACATCAAGCACTACCTTATCTCACCATCTTCCTACCTGTATACACCAGAGGACCAAATATGAGCAGCATTAACCATTAAGGGGGTGGGGGGAATCAGGTACCATTTGGTATTTTTCCTTCTGCCTAGGGCTGAAGATGCTTTTTTTAAAAGGCAGGACTGCAACAAAGCCCATGCTGCCTGGGCAGCATCCCAGAGATAGCAGCAAATAAGGAAGCTGCTATTTGCATTTGTTGATTTAAGAGAGGATGGAGGGAGCACAAGGGAGTGGGAGACTGCTAAAGTAATTCCCATATTGTCTGCAGGCTGTATTGACAGTGATCATCAGTCACCTGCTCATAGTTCCCTCACCCGGGCCTTCAGAGGGAGACCAAAGGTTACACTGGGTCACAGGATCTGGGGGGAAATGAAAAGACATGCAAAATCAAGCTGCCAACCCACTGCATCTGTAGACAGAGTTATCCCCACTAGGCCACATGTTCCAAAAACTAAGACATTTTAATAGTCTCATGAGAACTTGTTAAAATATAACGATGAAGAGAATAGAGAGGAAAAATGCCAAGCTCTGCTTGCAATTACTGCAGTGTTTAGCTGGGATATTTACAACCAAAAAAGCACATTTGCCTTTTGAGGATGCTGCTTTGCATCACAAAGGCCCTCTCATTTGCACAAACAAAATCAAGCATTTGTGTCATGTTGCTCATCTACAGAAATATCCGCCACTCCGGTTTCAGGAATGGGATGCATTGCATGGCTTTCCTTCCCAAATATCTTGTTTAGAGCCAAAACATGTACAGGCACCCTCAATAACTGAAGAGGCCACACTACACAGATACACTTTACCATAGAAATGTTAGCAACTAAGCAGCACTTTCAAGATCCACATAGCTCTAGTTATACTGCCACGTTTGTATTGGCTATAGGTATATAGCCCTTCATGCAACTGACAGCTTTCATACTTTCAAATACTTCTCTTTCAAAACATTCTTTTTTTCCCCCCACAAACGGTTCTGTGAGAATCCCAACACCTGCAAACTTTGCATTTAATGTAAGAGAAACTCCAAATCCTGTATTTTGGAACTCACAACCTGGAGATGCACAGCCATAAAACTCATTCCCTCCCTGAAACAAGCAGATCTATTGCAATCAATTGAGCTCATTTTCATTAAATGGACCCAAAAGGTTACACCTCACATGAGGGCCAAATTCTGCTTGCAGAAGCAGAAAAACTTCCCAGACATAGGTAGAACTGCCAAATTGACCCCAGAATGTTATGTCCAAGATCTCTTGCCAGGATAGGTAACATATTTAAGACAACTGTGAAATCTGAAGTTACTGAAACCTCCAGTACATGGGAAGGGGATGGAACAGATGACAGCTCAAAAGCCTGAATTCTCATGCAATTCTAATTAGCAAAATTTCCTCAAATAATCAGCAGTGACAGTTTCAGTCCATGCTTTTATGGAAAGCAGGGGAAAAAAACCGGTTCCGATTTGTAATATTTAAACATTATGAATCTCCCATTCAGTTAGTGCCACAGAACAGCAAGTACAAGACAAGACTTAAAACAACTGATGGGAAATTACACAAAGCAAGGTAGGGGCTCACTGCCATGCATTCTGTGAAATCTGAGGTGAAGATGCCAATTAGGCCAGTAGAAAAACTACTTCATTTTTAAAATCTGGTTTTCTTTCAAGAGATAAATTATTCTATTTGTACTATAATATTATTCCTATGCCCCCCCAATATATAAACCTAATGTTCTTCTGATAATATAAAATATTTATCCTTCTGTTATGTACAGACAAAAAAAAAAAAAATGAGGCAAAGAGGTTTAGCAACTTACCCTTAATCCATGTGAGCATTCCACAGGAGAAGTAATGGAAACATATCTGCTGAGTTCTAGCCTGGAGTTTTAACTATAAAACTAACCTTCTTTAATACATTCAGTTATTATCATGATAGTTTTGACAACTGGCAAAGAAAGTGGAAAAGATTAGCAATTTTTCGAACCAGCTTACTGCCAAGGATTATAAAAATTTATGTCCTTATGTCTCAATTGAACAACAGAGCCATACAAAAGCATGAATATCTGTAATACATTCCACCTCTTCCTATCTGTGTTAGGATGACTTCTGGTTATAAGGTAGCTGTGAGATACTAATTGATATGTTGCTATAATACAAAATCAGGTATAAGTCATTGTTCTGCTATCTAAAAAGCAACATCACACTTGGAAACTTCAACATCCACCTTGGCAAGACATGGACACTACAGCTTGAAATTTTCTTTTTCTAGATTTTAGTTTCTGTTACAATATAATAAAAGAAATAAGAAGTCTCTGTTTTCTGTGAAAATTTTTAGCCTACCTTACACAGGACTGAAAGGTAAAATGGAGGCTGCCAAGCAAGGTAAGACAAAAATGGATTAAAGGGAAAAAAGCATTCCTCTCCCAGTGACCTCCACAGGCAGCACTGTAGCACCTTCAGTTTTCTCAGAGCTTCACCCCTTTTC